TTGATCAATATTTAATTTTCTGGGAGAAGGAGTGGGGAGGAATCAGTGCTGCAGTGACACTCAGGAAATCTTCCTCCCTCCACATACCGGCTTCACTCTCACATCCTCTCCCTTCCTCATCCTTCCCTCATCTCTTGTCTCATCCCATTCCTCTATCTCCCCGACATCTTCTCTTTCACACCTTCTTCCTGTTACTCTGTTAACCACTGTTTCTCCGAGCTGAACAAAAGTGCCTGTTGGCTCCGACTGTCCCCCTGATAGCAAGAAAGGGCTGAGGTTAACCTTTAATGTAATGAAGGATCATAAAGGGAGCTGATGTGCCCTCTTGCAGGAAGGCCTTGCTATGAACAGAGCCCTTTGGTGACCTTTGACCCCATATAGTCATTGCCCAGTGCCTGGATGTGCCCTTTAGTGAGCGAGCAGTCTAATCAATGGATCATTTTTCACTTTGGAGACTGTGAGGTCTAGCCTTACACCATAAGCAGAGGAGGACATCACAACAGAAAGGAAGCGGAAATAAAGGATAGATTGTTCAATAGTCGTTTTTTTCTGTCTCCCTCTGTATCTGGTGGCTATCTTAGGAGATGCTGACACTTTGATGTGCTAAAGCCACTTTGCAAAACCCTAAAAAGTTTAAGTTTTATCTGTCAAAATAAAGGATGAGCAGTGACAGAGTAAAACCACCGCAGTGCTGTGTTTTGAAAATGAGAAATCGGAGGCCTGGCCCTGCCAATAAAGCCTTGAGACAACTGCTTAGTCAGGTTCAACTAATCATGTCTTTTTGTCAATGCATTTGAAGCGAGCGAATCGTCATCAGTGACAAAGCCATCATTGTCTTGACCCTTGAGCCCTGTTTAATTAACCCATTCATTTGATTCAATATTGACAGAATGGAATCTTTTCTGTACTTTTTCTTCTTCTTGCAGATGTTACAAACTGGAAAGTATCAAAAATCTTTGTTTATGTTAAGTGGCTTTAAATGTTTTGATACAAATCAGAGCCTAAGCTCACTTTAGGCATCAAAGGAGCGAACACGTGTTGTGGAAAAGAGGGGCATTTTTTTCCTTTCAGATGCCATTTTACAGAAGAATGTTAAATGGCTCTCTGTGGATTGAACACATTCTTGCAGAAAGAAAAAAAAAAAGGCTGAAGCATCCCCATTTTCCTCCTTGCAGTATCAGTGCTGCTGTACAGTAGATGATCATGAAAGGGAGCTGATAGTTTTGACTGCAGGCCATCGAGGCTCTCTCTAGATAGAGGGCAGTGCCACCACGGATCTCATTATACCCCCCTTTCCTTTGCCCCTCTTGGTAATCGCCACCAGAAGGGTGCAGGAATTTCTCAGCACATGCTGGTGGTTTCTGGCTCGTTTCAACCTCTGCTTCCCATTGAGTGGTGAGGAATTTAAATTTTCATACACAGCTAGGAGAAAGCACTCTCGCAAAGTTGTTCCTGTCTCAGAATGTCTGGCTCGCTTTGAAATATCCCCTCTAAAGACTTTGAAATTATGTGATAAAACGTTATCAGGAGAGCAAAAATAGAGGGGGAGTTAGTCTTTTATTGGTCTTTCACTCTCTGTGAAGTGGCAGCAGCCAGTTTTAGCTCTATCTGTGATCCACATAGCTGACTAATAGTGTTGTGCAGCATGTGGTCTCTGGGGCTTCAGGCCAGGTGTTGGTGTTAATGCTGGAGCCCTCACAACACCTGTTAAGGCCAGCTTCAGCATCCATACAGTCTGCTCTGCTTACCCTGCTTAACCAACCCGACTTACTCTCACTGAGAAATTTAGTGATCTAGAAGTCATTACAAAGAAAGCCATATTGACAATTGAAAACATGTTTTTATTAAGTCTGGCGGGAAGGCATTCACATTCATAACTACTATCACATGGTTTAATTTCCTCTGTAGCAACATAGGCGGTTTATTTCATTTGTTTGCTTGGAATTAAATAAAAAATATTAGACTCATTGGTAATAAGTGGTATGACAGTTTACTGCTTAGTAATGTTTCCTCCTTGCCAAAGGCCATGCTTTGATCCTTGGGGGAATTGAGTCGTCATACACAAAAAAAAGAATTAATTTGTCATTTCCTTTCTAAAATGATGACAATTTCCTTTTCATATGAGAACCTTTGGCAGGATGACATGCCCAGCCAGTACTCATCACAGGTTTAATCAATGGATGGAGTTGGCTTAGTTATCACGGAAGATAGCTCAGCTGTCATGATGTGACTTGATGACAATTAAGCCAAATCCAGTAGCATAAGTGGATCTTGAGCTTTTTTTTTTTGCAAACTACTATTTCTAACCACAAGAATGAACTTTCATGCCTCATTTGGAATGACAAGTAGGTGGGTCTTATCTAATATGAACATTTCAGAGGGGGAGGAGGAGAAAGACAGAGAGAGGAAGGGGACACTTGAAATTTGGCTGCAAATATAGCAAGATTGTTGAGACCGTGATGGACAATCAATGATAACCCTCATCCCTGAAGGATTTTAAGCTCTCATCTTTGTTTATATGTCAATCTAAATTAACTGAAACCAACGCAGAGCGGTGAGTTGTCAGTTTTTGGTTGGCGATACACGAAGACGCCAGGTCTTGCTCTAACCACGTACCTCGGATGGCACCTGTACTTACTGTGCAAGTCCAAGTTGTCCACTTACTCTTGTGAAGTTGCCCTCAATTTGGAGAAACCCTTCAAAAAGAGAGCTAGTGGAAAAATAATCCCACTGTAGAGATCATCAGAAGATAACAGAGTGAAGCGTTGAACTGGGACCGCACTATGCTCGACCTAACAGACCACAAGAAGAGGAAGGGTCAAGAGTGAGGGCGAATGAAATAAATTTTACACAGGGTGAAACACAGTTGACTCAACCAACCACACAGAGAAAGCAGGAATTTCCCAGTTGGAAAAAGGTATATTCAATCATATTTAACACTTGACAACTTGCCCTTTGTCTCTTTACTCAGGTATCATTATGTGACCCTCAGCAGCCACCACACACAGCTTTACAAGATGTTATGACCTCTTAAACAGTGGCACTTTAAAGTATTCCTCTCCTGCTCACTGGTCCACAGAGGCCAAGTTCTTGCCAGGGATTATCAAAGTTAACAGGATTTTAATGGGTCCGGGGAGACTGGTAAAGACCCTACCAGGGCCAGGTAGTGCCGTTCTCCTGCTACCCCTCTCGCTCCCTAATGCAGTCAGGCTGCACATCCAAGCACCAGCTAAATAATAAACAGATGGCCACTACCAAATATAGTCAGCCCCAGCTCAAACTACAAAGGGACCCCGAAATGAAATGATAGGGTATTAAAGGGGAGATACAATTTGCAGGTCAAAATGTAATGGTAACCCTTCACTGTGCAAATTGAAAATTAACCTTTGGTGGCACTGAATTATTCACAGCTGATGTCGTACATGTACGGCAGGCGTTTTTTGCTGTGGCAGAAAAAGCTGTAGGGGGAAAAGGGGGAAATCTGTGGTGATGAAGTCGGATTATATTTATGACTCTGGGGTTTTTCTCTCATTTGTCTCCCCTCTCCAGGACATACTGCAGCCAAGAAAATCAGCAATGAGACGGAGCACCGAGACTGCAGCAAGTGTAGTGCCTTTGAGTTCTGCGGCTGTCCTGTTCTCACATTTTATTTCCACCGCATGTCAATTTTGAAAAGTCTGCCCAGCTGATCATAAATCAGCCTTTTTCTGTGTACCTGTAAGGTTTGAAAGCTGAATTTCCAGATGATCACGTTTGCAAAACAAAATGCCACTCATTTTTCATAGAATTATGAAATCCCAAAACAAATGAGTCAAGGTCCAGTGTATTTTTCTCCTGGATTAATGCATTTATACAAATACGCTGGCCTCTTTTCACTGTTCCTTGGGCATTAATCCATGCCCTAAACCCCCTCTGCAAGAAAAGGCTTATGATGCTAACCTTGTCATATTCAGCAGCTGTCAGCGAAATGACCACTGTACTGGGCCAAGCTGGTAAAGTGGCCTATTCATTATCCTAATCTCATTAGTTAAGATCTGTTAAGTAGAGACCGGTTTTAATGCATGCTTTTTCCTTTTAATTATTGACCATAAATACATTGGAGTGCATTAGGGTCCTAGGGCGAAGAGCAGAGCTGCTCCTAATAGATTAGAGGACAAGCACATTATCTAAATGTACATATCTAACTCATCATGCATCAGCCATAGCCATGTGAGCATTGTGACATCAATTGCAGTTTGACATTTGACCCCGGCTGCGGCCTCTAAGAGGTCCAGTCACACAAAGGTTTATGGCGGTCAGAAACACAGAAAGAGAAGAAAATCTGACGTCATGATTGCAGCAAGGCTCGAGAACTCAGCCCCCACTTTTCTTTCCCCGTAATGATTAAGACCGTAGTGTTATTTCTGAATGCTAACAGATTATTTCTAAATTGCTCCATGGTTAATCATGTTACAGATTAAATCATTTGGGGATTAGCTTTGAATACATGAATAAGCACTGTACTGTGCTGTATGTCTGCCTGCACGCTGGTGATCTCATGTTGAGGAGATTCAGGGGAGAAAATGACGGGGGGAGGAGGAGGAGGTTTATCTCGCTTGTCTCTCCTTTCTCCTGCTTCTTTTCTTTTTGTCACTTTTGCTTTACATCTGTCTTATACGAGCATTTTCTCTCTTTCCCTCCCTCTGCAGTACACACACACACACACACACACACACACACACACACACACACACTCACTCAGACACAGTCATTCTCTCAGTGATGAGGGAGAGAAGTGCGCCGCTCGCCACACAGAGGGGCTCTTTTACAGTTGTGAGAGGCTATTGTGTAAAACAAGAGCGAGGGCATGCTCCTTAGAAGTATCATCCCAGCTGAGGATCATCCTCGCCTTGACTGGGTGTGTGTATGCGTGTGTGTTCTTTATACTTCAGTCTGTAAGCACAGGGAGGGATATTCAACATCTTTTGGTCTGACTGCTAAAGGTCTTATTATTTTTTGTGTTTATCATTTTGGGATTAAATAGCTCAAGATAAGCCTGGTGTACATCATTCTGATTTGCATATAGCCTTATCTTATAGTATAAGACATCCTTGCAATAGTGGATCCTGATTGGTCAATTATGCCCGCTTTCAAATTAGGTGATTTTGCTTTCTCAGTCTAAATGCTGTCCTGATTCTTTCGTGATGGGAGTCAATCATGATCCAGTCGGGCTGTGATGCATTCGCTGGGAGATAAGCTGAAACACAGAGGAGGGGAAAGGGTTTTTATATACAGTGGCTTCACATTTAGACAGTCAAGCAAAATTGAACTCCAACAAAATCCTCATTTAATTATTATTTACTGTAGGTACAGTACATACTTAGACTGAATATACTGTATTCAAATCTAAATACATGCTAAAAAGAGTAAGCACCACAGACTTTAATTACATGTTGAAATTTCCACAACAGTGTGCCTTTTTCAGAGCTTAAAGGGAAAATGTATTAAATCATGTTTAATGGTAAAAATCAACTTAATATAAACAATACATATATTCAACTTCATGCTCTACTTTGCCCATGGTTTTGGCTGTTGATTTGACTGCAACTGATGATGAAAATATGTGTTTTGAATAATACATCATTCTATCCAGCCAATGTAACAAAGGATGGACAACTTTTCTGAATACATTTGTAGTTGTTACTGCAGTACCAGGCCACACAGCAGCAATTGAACTCCACAGCACAGTCATCCCCTCCCTCCATATCCAGTTAGAGACACACAGAATAACGACTATTGTCTTGTCCGGCAGATATCCGTAACAGCATACAGTGTGTTTGTGTGTGAAATAAGAGCCTCAGTGTTACTTAGCCTTAATGACTATAGGCTATAGCTATAGCAAAGTCACCAGTTGCAGTGTAGTAAAGCACATGTGTAATGTAATGCAAGTAATGTGGATTCCTTGCCTCTCTGCTCTACAATAACATTCAGTTGTGTTCCCTATCGGCGATCATTTTCACATACAGTTAGTTGGGGAAGAAATAATTGTTGTTTTTAAAACATTTTCATAAATCCTGCAGATTTAATTAACTCATAAACAACAACAACATCATGCTTCTGCAGTCTTTTCTCAGTAACAAACTTCCAGCATGTGTGCGTTTAATAAGCTGCTAAAAGGATTATGAGTTTTCAACATCATTGTACATTCTCTGGTTGAAATTACACACTGTGCAAGCATGAAAAAAAATACAGTAATTACTGCGTTCTTTTCTGATGCTAAATACAGGTGATGCATTCACAGTGTCTCCCTTTAATCCATTTAATTACTGTATGTATGACAACGTGTGTATGTGTGTATATATAGCTCCCTTCCGACCACTGCCTCATCATTATCAGGCTGCTCCATACATTATGGTCTAATTCAACCGAGGCAATCATTGCCTGGCTAACATGTATGGATGGGTGTCTGAGAGCAGCAGGTCATAACAGTCATATTGTATCAGCCATATTAGCGAGTCAATAAGAGCCCAGGGCAGGTTGATTTAATTACACTAGTAGCCTGATTAGACTGCTTTCCCTGGAGTAAGTACAGACTATATGTCATAATCATAACAATGGTGCAAATTATGAACAGGTCAATGTAATATCCTTTAGTGGTCTGTCATTGCTAATCATTCTGGTAAATTATTGTGTGCTGATGTGTATTCATGCTGCGCCTGCGGTGTTGATTTTATTGGGTTTTGACAAATTGTACAGGGAGAATGAAAAATGACTGCCGTTTTAAATTTGTAAAACTGTATTAATAACAGAAAAAAACACCTTTTCGTTCTTTGAACTTAGTTATTGTTCTTTATTTTATTATTTTTTTTATTAAAAATTAATACAGAACCTGTGTTGATTTGTGACATGTGATGGTTAATACAGGCGTGTTTAAATGACGCCCCGGAGCTTAGATGTTCATATCTCCTGAATGCATGCTCTGGAAAAAAATGAAATGAATTTCTCTGTAATGTTCAAAGACTTAATGAACTATCCCAATCAAAGCAAACTTGACATTTAGTCATTTTCTTAAAATACGTAAATAAATAAATGACTAAGCTTTATGTTTGTGTTGTCTTTGTTTTAAATTAAGGATTACACCTCAAACCTAGCACCTATCACAAAGCAAAATAATTAATTTGGAAATGTTATTTAGACATAATTTACATATAAATGTGTTTTGTACTGAAATAAAGAAATAATACAAATACACCACAATCATAAATGACACCCTCAAGACTAAAATTTACAATTAAAATGTTAAACGTGCTGATTATATTCAAGAACAATTTCTTCTTGACCTTTCATCAGAGTGTTTGGGCCTCAATTGAAATCTCCTGTTTTTTGTTTCCATTAAAATTCTCACGGTTTACTTTTCATCATAACTACAATACAGGACATTTTGGTAGCATTATCGCTAAATAATGCAATATATGGGATATTACGACTGATTAATACTGTTATCAAACAGCTTTATATTCAAGTTGATTGTAGGGCTTTTACCTATTTTTACATTGTGGTACTATTGCTTTTACTTAATGTCCCCCCTCCAAAAATATGTTTTCCTTCTAATTCGTACAGTTGTGTACATGTATGTGCAGAGTTTGACCCTAGAAGGTTGTTTTCACATTCATCTGCTGAAAGTTTCTCTGTGCTTATTAAAAAAATCAGATTTTAATTTGTGACATCACAAATCATTTGGAAGTCAATCCTGGTCCAGTATGCAACTTATACAAGTGTTATGTAGAAACCTGAAGCACAAACAATGAGAATGCACTTTACAGTGAAGTAAGACACATCTTGTGTCCAACAGGAAAACTTACGAAATTTGCATATTCATAGATTCTGGAATTTTTAATGAGATAGAAGGAGTATATGCCTTTTTAAGGATTTTTATTTGGAAACTGTAGTTTTTTTTTTGGAACGAACCTCTCAGACACACATTATTGTTAAGCAGACTATCTGTATAATTGTCTTAAATGTCTGGAGGGGATCTTTAAGTCAAGGATCTGAGTATTCTATATGTGAAAAAATGTAAGGATAAACGACAAGTAAATGACACAATAAAATAACTTTTCTGAAGTCTAGAAATAATGTTTCATAATGTGTATAAGGCAACAAGTATTCTTCTAAGCAGTTCCTCTTTATTCTGCATAAGTAAAACTATGAAAACAAAAGAAAACCTATCATAGTAGTTCCAGCTACATCAAGTTATTTCCCATCCCATAATATAAATGTATTAATATAGCTCCAACTTAAATTCCCTCGGTCACATGTATATGTGGACATGCACCATCAATGTTTCATTGTTGCTTACGGCAGATATGTCGTGCCTTATCCACATGGTGGCAGCAAAGTAATCGACATGAATGAATTTGCATGTGTTCACACACATTCTGTGTCTCCCTGAGTGTGTGTGTTTGGACGTGTATGCACATGTGTATAGCATCACATGTTTGACAGCGCTGATTTGACCCATGCTAATGAATGTTGCCAACGTGGCTGACACAGAGTGACACCAGGACAAGAAAAAGACCCTCTTCTCTCCAACGCCTCTATTTCTGGGCCTTTAAATAGCCCCACATAGCCTGCTGCATGTTTATTAGTCATGTATCAGACAAGCGGCTGATGGACATGGATGCTCATTACCAGTTAGTTTTGCTTCAGAAGAGACCAATCTGTGCCCTGTGAGGGTCATCACTCAGAAGCAAACAGACCTGACACAGGCATAAGTTGAACTTGAATAGGAAATGCTGCACATTATATTTAACTGACTGAAAAGGCAGCTTTCACTGGCAGAAAAAAAATTCTGATCAGATCAGTGTGAATGCAGCATAATAGGTATATTGTGCTAATAGTGCAGAACATTCCCAGGAGAGTTTTGACTAATAATAATGTCCCTGTCCCTGCTTTTATCCACCTCTCCAGGTATTTTCTCAGTGGGTTAGGTTACCTTACATCTGCATAAGTACCACACATCCTTTTTTTTCTTTATTGAGATATTTGATATTTTGGCAGTTGTGTAGTGTGACATACACAGGCCTGAGACAAGCAGACCTGCTCCCTCTCTCGCCTTCCATGCATGACATCACCATGCCTGCTTTTAATTAAAAGACACAAAATGGCAGTGCAGGGAAATATGAGTAAAATATTTGAATTTCAATCACTATTACGTTTCCCTTATTTCACACACACTGCATCAGTGGAATGTGCCATACTGCTGCATATCCAATGATGGGATCAGTCACTGAGCGTTAGGGCCTGGGATCAGAGCAGAGAGGAGAGGGCGGTACGGTGAAGAAATGTAGTACAGTCTGTCTGTAGCAGCAGGTACTTTTTATATAAGAGGCCTCATTGTGCAGTGATGGTGATGTTTTCAGTTGATGCCCTTTGGAGCTTCAGGCAAATGCATAATGTTAAACAGAGGCCCGGGGAAAGAGTCCTGGAGTAAAGTTGAAAATACAAATGGTTCTTTTGTCAGCAAATGCTTGATGATGCTAATTCCAACTGTATTCTCTTCCTGGTAATACTAATGTGACAGGTAATAATGACTGTGTTCTCCACCAGATGGTGCAAAGCTCCATAAAGTCTTCTTTTATGCTTTCATACAACACACATTTTGAGGCAAACCATATCCAAGTTCTGGCTCTTTTTTTTACTCTGAACCTTGAAAGAATATTACATAATAGTGTTCTAAAACTCCTATACTCCAATGAAAATGACAATGTGCAGTGCTCATACTGTAGGTATATTCACTTTATTACACTTTATTAGATATCTTGTGATATATCTTCCTGTAGACTTAAATAAATGTGATTTATGTTCTTTGATGTATTGTACTTATACATTAGTTATTTATGAGGAAATAATTTGTTACTCTATGAACATTAAATTGGCTAAAATCAAAAAAGTATAAACACATTTATTTTTCTTTTGTTGGTTTGTTTGTTATAATTTGTCTTTATATTATGCTCAAAGTAGTTCGCAAAAAATGTAGTACATCAACAACCCAGCAGATGGCAGCAACAACACATGAACTAACATAACCATTTGACGGTCCACATTTAGAGAACGCTCTGCAGATACCCCCAACCTGTCACTGATACACCCTCTGTAATGTAAAGACCAGGGTGCATTAACTCAACCTCACGCTACCTTAAGGCTGACAAGCTGTCAGCGCATTGCAAGGCCACACAATATGTAGAGTGACAGCTCCTTTAAATTATTAACATGTCATGCTCCGTGATGGTAGGATTGTGATGGCCGGTGAGCTGATGTGTATGAAAGCAATCTTTTAACTTTTCATGTGACTATAGATCGATCTCAAAACGTCCAATATCCTGACATAGTCTGATCATGGGATATTTTAATATATGGGATATATTTCTACAGCTGCAATAGGTGAACCAGAAAAATACAAAGAGTAAAAAGAAAATAAACTGAGACAAACAGTTACCAAAGAGAAGAAAATGTTTCTGGAAATGGTTTCTCCTGATGTTATGTAATTATGTATTTGTGTGTGTGTGCGTAAAAGATTGAAACAGGGGTGCCCAGTGGCTCACCTGGTAGAGCATGTACCACATATCCATGCTTATTACAGTGGCACAGGTTCAAATCTGGTTCTGGCCCTATGTTGCATGTTAGCCCTCTCGCTCGCTCGCTCTCTCTCTCTCTCTCTCTCTCTCTGATGCCTTTCCTGTCTTTCTCTACTATCACAATCCAAAATAAAGCCCAAAAAAAGAAGCAGATGTTATAGTCGACTAAGCTGACTTCAAGGAGGTCTGGAGGATGTGTTGGGGAGCTACTGACCCCAAAAACCAAATGCCAGTAGAAAATATGCCGATATACTGAATCTGTTTGCTCTTTCGCTATGACCTGTTGTTTTCTGGTCTTTTAACCCTTAACAAATCTAATTACAATATCATATGAAGTACTAATACTGTTTATGCTACTAAAATGAATTCCTTTTTGTCAACAGCCAACCTTCAGTATGTTATGTTATGTTTCTGCATTCAACTGGTTAAAGTCAACGTCAAATAAATGTATTACAAACAGGTACTGTCTTCTTCTCTGACTACTCTTCACGTAGCCCACGCTCTACCAGACTGGTCACTGTTGGTGGACTGACACCAAATCACAATATGACCTGATTATCCAGATGACCCACCCAGTCAATTGCCAACATCCTGTGGGCCAACTCAACCAGTACACAGAAGGCTTACTTATTGGAGGCCTTATGTACAGTAAATGTATTTAGGGACATTTACATTAACAAAATGGTGTGGTGTGGTCCAATTCCTTGCTGACTGTAAGGATTTAACAGTGTACATTTCCAGGCAGCAGTTCTGCCCATTTTGGGAGATTCTGAAGTTTGAAAGACATCATTATTGAGTTAAACATGATTTTTATTAGGGCTAGTCTTCTCATAATAATGTGTGTGGTTTTCAAAGAGTAATATCAGAACAGGACATCAATTAAACATACAAACCTCAATTAAAACTGGGTTTCTATCAGAGGAAAGAGGAATAAAATAAACATCTATAGCCCTATTGATGTTTTGTAGCCTAATTTCTTCTGTGAACTGATACAGAGCTTTCCTGCACTGACAAGTATTCATTTTTCAGCTCTAACTACAGCATATATAGCACACTTTAGCCCACTGTGAAGAACACAGTGTGAAATCAGTGTGAAACACAGCACAACACAGCTGCAATCTGAAAACATTTATTCTAAACTACTCCATCATTTATTTCGTGCTTCTTAAAGCCTAAAACAGCTACAATGAATACTACTAGCTGTAAACAGTCTCTCCTGTAAGCCTGTAAGACTGTACGGAGGAAGGAAGCAGCAATTGTTGGTCAATATTACTCTGTAATATAGTTCTGGAAGCCTTAACAATTGATGTTATAGCTAAGTAAATAGTTTACACAGACAAAAGACAACTTTTTAAGGTGAAGTAGTCATTTTTGGTTTGCCTACACCGGTGGACCCAAGAGGAACTCCCTGTTCAACATGGAACTTCAGGAGCTGTATCCCTCTGAAACCGCACCATGGAACCATAGCTGAGACATAATAACCTATTTGCTCCGTGAGTTTCGTAACCGTCTGGTTGCTTTTAAAAAAGCCACCATGGCTGCCAGTCTGCACTCTGTACCAAATGTGAAGATAGGACACAGATCTGGTTCGTGTGATGATATGTAAACACTTTCTGGGCTAATTTTCCACCTTAAGGATCTTAGAGCTCCGTAAAAGCCCACAAGAGGGGTCACAGTACTAATGTGTTCCGACGGGAGAGCAATCTGGAGGACCACCGATGCAAAAGTGGGAAATCTCATTCGTCTGGAGATCTCCTCACTCATGGCCTGGAATGGCTTTCTGGGAAGTGCGGGAAGCTGAGGCATTGAGTCACTCTAGACGATGGGTCAGGGTGGTTTCAGACTGTTGGAAGAGAATTATGTCGGTGGGGCCAGTATGGAGTGTGTATACTCAGCTGGGGTAGCAGGGATTCCCTCTGACAAGACCTGAGCTTTATTTTCTTACAGAGGGAAAGGGGGCATGGGAGAGTGGGTGTGTGAAGGTGACGATGTGTGAAATTATATTGTCCAGATGTATTTATACATACAGCCATTATTGAAAGAGTAGAGGGAGCCATTATATTTGGCAACAAACCTTTCTTGACATGTGTGCAACCTGTGTGTAGCATATTTGCTTGTGCACGTGTGCATTTCTCGGCATACTTGTGTATTTTTCTTTGGCAGTGTCGCGGCTCCTGATCTCCTTTTACTGGAGGATGATTATGGGCCCAGACGGTTTCCCAGAAGCCATAGCAGTTACGTAGATAGTGGCAAGGTTGTGACACATGGGAGCTGCTGAGTAACACTGCCTCCTGCTGCCAGAGCTGACAAGCTAACAAACCATGAAGGCATGTAGGCTTTCACAATCTCATATCTTTCAATGGGGGGAATGTGTCATAATCCCAAAACCCATCACGTATCTAGGTCCACTATACAGTAAGGCATCTAAACACCATATGTTCTGGTAAATACGATACCATATGCTGGACTAACTAATCCACCATACCACATGTGTGGATAAAAACAAATATGCTTCCTCAGAATAAACTGTATATCCCGACTAAGGCTTTGGATGAATTAAACAAGCACTGCATTGTATAATTAGCGATTTTTATGTACACACAAATGCCTTCAACTGCAGCCATGCCCTGTTAGAAAACACCACAGTGTGCACAGTGTAACCAGCACTAGAACACACAACTTCTGGCTGTCATGTCAATAAAAACGCCCAGCGCTAGGCAGGTGGGCACGCAATCCCGCCCTGCCTATTGAAAGTCATTGCAGTTGAGGCTAATCCTGGATACACTCACTTGCTTGCACAGGACAGGAGGATAGTATCCTGTTTATTGTCTGAAATGCACACTGCCGTTCACCTCAGCTCTTCCCTGAATGTTTTATTTATTACACAACATCCACACAACCGCAGTACAATCCACCATCAGGCTCTGGATTTTCAGACACTGGTCAGTGTGTACTGTCGGAAAAGAATTGGAGTTCATGATTCATCACATTCTGAGTCACTCTGCAAGAAAATATGACAATGTTTTAACTGAAAATGCTGATTTGTACTGCGGGTAGCAAATATGACTGTAAAACTGGCAGCCACAACTAAGAAACAACAAAAAAATGAATCCCAGATCCCAACAGTCATTGAATACAAAATGGTAATTTGTAAATTGAGACTATTACTTACTGAAATTGTGCTTTTATAATAAACCATGCAAGTTATCAGCAGGAGCAGCTGCCAGCTTTCCTACTTGAGTATGTTTCCTGGAGAGGGATCCCTCATTACACGATTATACTATTTGGTTTCAGCGCAGAGGGTCCAGACTGCAGCATCAGGGTATTCCTCCTGATTGGGATCACTGTCTGAGGTCAGGAACACCGCTGTAGGATTCAAGTGAAAAACACACCATCAGATCAGGTTTCCAGAAACTGGGGAGACGCTAAGGCTGCAGGGTTGAAGGGAATTACTTCAGATGGATCCACAGCAGGGCAGCATGTTCTCTCCCTGAGGAGCAACACTTTATTATGTCTGGTTTCATCTCAGTAGTGTTTTAATGGTGTAAAATGGACTGAGAGAAAAGGAAAGCTGTTGCTCCTCTTGAGATGATGAGTGTATGTTGCATGAATTCAGCCACTTGTGAGTCATTCTGACCTGATGAGTTTTTCATGCAGACACACACATTCTAATTTGGACTGTGTGTGTGTTGTGCTTTTAAATGTGTGTGCTGTGCTTTGAAATGCATGTGTGGTTGCTGTTAAACCTTGCAGAGACCTTAAAAAGCAGAATCCAGCCTGATGTAAACCCAACATCTATCGGCGCTATCAGTACACACAGGTGATGTGAGGGATGTGAAGGTCAAGCCTTGGCCTCAGCGCAGTCACTTGAGCGTTACACTATCTAGTTTATTCCTCATGTGATACATTCTCGCCCCAGTCGTATCAGAGCCAGATGGGGGTGAATCAAAGGAGTGGGCTGACTAATAACACAGAATGAATCACAACTTTTTACAAGGGTTTGTGTGTGCTGTCGCCTTGCACGTGTTGAACAAATGAAAAGGATCATTAGTGAAATGGCAGTTCAAGTTTTAGCACTTCACAACCAACAGACAATGGTTATGTGATTATTGTTGCAAGAGGATAAGAGTTGGCTGACTGGCAAAAAAGATATTCAAGTGAAATTGATATTCTAGAAGTACAAAACATTCAACATCACAGTGGCATCTGTAACAACACAAATAACTAAAAAACCTGCCTTGGAACAGCCATACTCAACAGTATTTCAGTATCAGCATCCGAATTTCAGTTTTTAGCCTTTAACAGATCCTATTTCCCATTATCCCTAGACCATTGGGGGTAAAACATCACCAGTTTGACAGAATAGGCGAGGCCCCAGGTGATTCCAAGGGTCGTAAGTTTAGATCTGTAATAACAACAGAGGAGAAGAGATTACAGCTAAAAGGTTTTTAACAATGACAACAGAGGAGAACATTGGCAGATGGCATGGATGGACAAAACCAAACTCACAACCATGCAAGTACCTGCAGTCCTGGTAAATTTTATTGAAGCTGTTTTTGGATTTTACACTAACAAATGAATTGTTAAAATCACAAATGTTTCATATTATAATGGTAACTGAACCCCAGTAACACGTCCTTTTCAGAAATTCCGTCAGAGTTTGCATTGATTTACAGAAGCTACTGAAACAGAGGCTAGGGCAGGGGTGATGTCAGCACATTGGCTTTCTCTAAAGATGATATGTCGAACATGTTTCAAAAATGTTTCCAAAAGTTTCCTATTACATGTCCATAGGACACAGCATTAGAATAAATTTGAAGTAATGTGTCTGGCAACCTATGTCCAATATTCACTTTACCTTTAGTTCAATTTTGGTCTGTCTGTCTGTCTGTCTGCTATTTTGTGCTGGGTAGTGTACAGGTGTTTTTTTTTTTTTTTGTTGAAAACAGCAGTTTTTTGTGACTAGAAACAAAGGCAGAGAGAGTGAATCTTGTTTGCAAGTCATACAAACAAAACAATGAGCTGAAAAACACTAAAATGCACTGAAGAGGTGACCTGTTGTTGGGTGATTCATTTTTCCATTGATAATATAAAATGATGTAGAGGCACATACAAGCTGAGTAAAGTATAGGAACAGTTAATAATAATCAAGGTAAACAACCACAAACATAAAAAAAATAAACTGTGTTTTTAAAAGTTATGAATTGATTGTGTGTATTACAATTAAATACCATTATTCACACATTATCTTTAGGTTAAAGAGGAGGACAAACCAATTTAGTGGAACGGGGCATTACTTTTGCCCATATATCAAAATGCCAACAAAAAACTGTAAAGCATCCCACCCATATGCTGACCTCCTAACCTCCCAACCTCCCCAGTCACACCAGTAAAAAGAAAAAAATCCCCCCCAACTGGACAGCTGCCATGGTTTCCAAGCAACTCACACAAACAGCAGGAAACAGAAGAGGGGATCCCATCAGAGGGGCCGTGAAAAAGGAAGGCATTGACTAGAGACAGGAAAAGGAGAGAAAAAAGAGGAAGACAACAGGGGTTGGTCCTTCAGTTGACCCCCCTCCACATAAATGTCCAGCAGGAGTTATTTTTCTCAACTCCTCGGTCAGAATGACTGTCAGACGATCTTAGACTACTGTGACTTGCTGCAGCACTGTAAGCCAGGATCAAGCTATTTTTAATCTTTTTATGACATGTCAATACCAACACCAAGGACAGGTCATAGAATCACAGTAACAGCAGTGTAAATGACCTGCCTCAAGCTTTCTATGGGTCTGTACATGAAAGGCCCTGCAAATCATACCTCTGCAGCAGCACTGAAGGACGCTGACTTTAACTGACATCTTCCTCCTGACAATCCGTTGTCACACTTTCAGATTCCCTGAATGATAAACGTATATTGCGCATGTTAAACTTGAACAGAAGTGGTGAAGAATGCAACACAATAAACTGATGGATAGGATCTTGTTTTAACTTGTCCCCTGAAAGTCCAGTGCTATATGAGTGTCCTACTTTTCTGCTATATGACAAAGTTAAAGAGGGTGCAAACACATGCTGCTTCTCTGACATGATGATGAATCTAATCTAAGGAGGAAATGCAGTATGTCACCTTGAGGGACATGAATAATTTATAGGGACCAATATTATTGGACTGGATTATTATGCATTTATCTTTTTTATAGATCCCATATGAGAAAATGTATTGTGTGATTTACAGTTTTGTTCCAATACATAACTTCGATCAAATCAGCACAAAAAGACAATGATCAATTACTGATTAGAGCACAGACTTCAGACAACGCCTACTTTAGAGTAACCAAAGTTACAGCGCTAGGAAAAAGGTCACCAAAATCAATAGGTTTCCTCCTATTGGGAGCGGGAAACCACACAGCAAATATTGTGTGTTTTATGAACAAAGACGCAGGAGATATAGAGTCATTTGGAAATTGAAAGGTTGACTTGGTATGGTGCCAGCAAAACAAAAGTCATGGAGTCACCAAAATTGCCTCCTTCTCTTTTTTTTTCTTAGGATATTGAGTGTACGCAGCAAATTCCATGCCAATCAGGTCAATAATGATGGACATTTTTATTCCTGAAGCCACAGATCGACCTTAGCATCTTGACAGAAGTATTAATAACAATGAAATATGAAAAAGCTTTATTGGGGAATATAATGTAGTACACACCGATGGCCCCAAAGACAAATGTGAAATGTCCCAATCAATGTCTCTTGCCGGGCTGCCAAAACCCATCCCATTGGCAAAAGCATTCTTTTTTTCTGTCTCAGTCTAGACTCTGTCTCTTTCATTTGGACTCAAACCTCTTTAGACTCGGACTTGAACCTCTTCGGACTCAGTCTCAACTAGTCCTGGTCTTAGACTTGCCTTGGACTTGACAATGGTGGTCTTATACAGCATTGCTTTTCACTTTGGTTTTTGTAAAGATTAAACAATCAAGATGGTGATTATTGAGCTTTACAGGAGCTGGTAGGCAGCAGGCTAAACTCACTCCAACTTCATATTTGACTGACATGAGGGTGGTATCAATCTTAACATCTAACTCTCAGACCCAAATGTCGAACTGTTCCTTTACATGTTTCTTTTCATGATTTGTGTCATCTGATCACATTTCTGTCCAATTAATGACCATGTGATGTCATTAAGAACTGGGTAGGAGCAGAACTGGCAACAGAGGGAATGTTTGATACTCAACTGTGATTATGGCGCCACGAATGCATTTGGGTGAAGGCTTGATTCACCAAAACAGTGCAGGTTCATCACAGTGTGTGCATTTGGAATTCGCTGAGTGCCTTGTGTGTGTGTGTGTGTGTGTGTGTGTGTGTGTGTGTGTGTGTGTGTGTGTGTGTGTTTTTAAAATAAAATATATAACACTAAACCTCCTGTCCTGTCATCTTCTAGTTAAATAAAATAGCAATGGAAACAATGACTGCCTGTGACAAATCGACTCTCAGTATTTAGTCGACAAAATGATTCAAGACGCAGGGAGATTGAGCTCAGATTTGTGAGTGACCCTTTCGCATAACCAGGACCCTGGCTGTGCTGGACTATATAAATGTGTTTTAATGTAGAGCAGCCAAGCTGGAGAGCCGTGCAGTAAAAATGGCCTTGGCATATATGCTTGGGTTTAAATCACTGTAATGGACCTGGATGTGACAGTCATAGGCAAGAAAAATGAAACCATCCGCCCTCATAATCCCATAACCATTACTGGGATTGCAACAAAACTGAATGGATACACATTTCAGTGGAGGAAAAAAAAAACAAAGCTTATATCATACTGTTTTGTTTGAAACTGACAATATGGCCCTCCTCAGATGTCTCGCCTGAGTAATTATCTGTGTTAGAATTGATGTAGGAAAATTGTCTCATAGGTCATATGTCTTTGACCTACAGAAACTGTTATTGGCCACAGGTTTTGAATTAGCAACACATGTGGGTAAGATACAGTGCCCATGGCGGAGCTCTTATCGCATCTCACACTGTCAGCAAAAACCAGTCGTAGAGAAAACAACACTGACAGAGTGCAGTAATAGGTCATTAGTTAAAAAAACAATGTGCTGATATTTCAACCCTGAGGAGCTGTATTTAATCTAGACAATAACAAACAAGCATGATCATACTTTTATGATTTTGTTTTTCTCTTGTAGTTGCTGCTGGATTGTACTCAGGGTTTTGAAGTGTGGATGTACTTATAATTCCTCCCAATTTCCATGTTTTTTTTCTCAATTTTTAGGGTTTTAAAAGAGTTATATGGCCACTTGAATTGGCTTAATAATAAAGCACAGTTGCAGGATATCAACTCTAAGTGGCTGGCAATAAAAGAAAGCGTTATATTAGTCTCACTTATCATACCAATCGGGCAACAATGGGATTAGACCCCATGTTAAACAAAGGATCTTTCACAAGTAAATCATGTAAACAACTATGACAAAGTACCAGCCTCACACTGTTCCTTCCCTATTTTCTACCAGCACACAATCTTAGTCAATGGCCGTGTGACAATGACAGCCCTGCTCCTTTGGTTTACGAGCCAGACATGTACGTTACTTCCTATTCATAAGAGGAATCTCTGAAAAAAGCCAGTAGCTAAACATACAGCGGTGTCCAGACATGCCTAAGATAGCTCAGAGCAGTTCTCCATTGTGAGCACTGAAGTATGCAGCTCCATGCGTCTAAACACTAACAAAGGAAAAGGAGAAGTGGGCAAGTGTGTACAACTGGTTGTGCTTGTGTGCGCCACTCATGCCAAAGGATGGAACTGACCACAGCCACTCACAACTTAACCTTCATTAACCGCAGACTTCTTCATTCACCACTCATAACAGACTGCAATCAAATGAGATGACTAGTAATCATGTCTGTAGCTGCAGTAGCTGCCACTGACGCTGCAGGGTTCAACGCGGCTGAGTAATAAACTTGTACCAACAGAGTGCACACAAAATGAGTGTTTACAGCTATTAAAAGCTGCCTGATTCGAGTTATGGCTCATAGAAAAACTTAGAAAATAGATAATAATAGTGTAGGGAACTCAAGATGCCAGTGTGCACATTTCCCCGGATATGTCAAACATGAATTATATGTTGTAAAAGTAGGGGATTAACTGTGCAGCTTTGAGGGAAGAACTCGGGTTTGCAGCCTTGAATTTTTCGTATTGCAGAGATTCACCCGGAGTTAACTACACTTCTCTTGGTTTACATGTCTTGTTAGTGTCCATGTCCATATTAATATCTGCCTCAAGCTCATTTTTCCTATCGGTAGAATTCTTGATATCTAGACAAACAAATATGACAAGACTAAGCCCACAGCTTGGAGAGCCTTAGATGTGAAAATTTATACCTGTCAACTTTGGGTCCGTCTTTTACATGTAAATCTTTTATGGAGAGTTCTAAGAAATGGGCCATGCCAAGACGTAGCCTGACTCCTGGGCCAAACCACTGGTAGTAAACATTGTAGAGACTGGCATTAAGTACAGCACTCGTGCTGAAAACCCCACTCTTGTCATTTATTATATCATCAGCACTGCTGGCAAACATTTCCAGTCCCTTGACGGTAATGCATCACTCTGAAGAAATATGCCAATAGGAGAACCTTAAAGAAACAGGAGTAAGGTTTGAGCTCTATATTGGACAACCATCTCGATTTTGGCACGAGATGTTGTGTGTGTCACAAACAGCCTTGCTTCATGGAATTACAATAAGGAAAAAGAGCAAAACACAACAGCTCAATTTGTGTAAATGTAAAAGCAGCATGTGTCTGTTTACAAGACACAAGCAATGATCATTTTCTGCAAAACACACGAGCGAGGAGCAGGGCTCTCATAAATCTTAACGCAAGACATAGTATGTCTCTAATGCTCTCCGCAGACATGTTGTGGCTGCTCAGTACGTGCAGTGTCACAGGGCCAGATGTAGTAGCACTATAAATTATCTTACATTTCCAGAGAAGATGTAAAGTGGAGGCGGATTCGAGCAGACGAGCTTAAGCTTTACTGACAATTTGAAGCTAATCACAGCGCGGAAGTAAGTCAGATAGACCTAAAGACAAACTTTAACAGTGGTGCTGTCAAACCAAATGATACGAGACTGCCAATAGTAGCATGAGTGGCACATTACAATGTATTGCATGAATTAATGCTTCACTAGATAAGTTTGTAACGTGGTGGCTCCAAATGCCATTGAGAGATTACGTTTTTTTTAAAGTTCAATACTCAGAAATCAAGAAACAAATCACACACGCCATGTTTATGTTAGTTGGCCCATCTGTGGTCACTATGTAACAATGAGAGAGAAAGGCAAAATACCTAACATACTGTGAGGGAGTCCAGCTTTTGTATTCACTGATGTTTAGGACACACTTTGGATTTGAACCGTTATGATTTGGCCATTCCTGCAAGTGCAGAAGTGTCCAGCACCGTAGGGTTTATTTTGGCAAGACAGCACAGTCTCAGTTTGGATTTTTTTTTATATAAAACTCTTATTTTATGTATAGTTAAACTGTAGTAGGCATTCGAACCTGAGCATGAATCTGCTAAGGAGGCACAGCCAGACTTTCAGAGTTGAAATGCTTACTTAAATCACAGTTTTTTTTAATACATTTATACACTTAATGAGGGCCATTACACCATCAGGTCTTTAGATTACACTTGTCTTTTTTTAATGAAGTATAGACTGCTTAGTGACCTGGTGGCTATAATGTCTGTCACTGTAGAGTGCTCTGACTATTGTTGACAGACACTGTAGCTAATGATACTTTACTCAGTAGCACAGAATCCATCAAGATAAGCCTTCAGACTGCCACTGACCCACGCCACACGCACAGGGTTTTAAAGTTGTTCAACAACTAGCATAAGACCACCCCACTGACAGTGCCAATCAGTTGTGCGGCTACTTTTTTCCTACCGCTGGTTCGTATCATAATTCATCTCCCCAAAGTATGTGATGCTGCTTTTTCATCTCCAAGCTCACACGTGCACATCGGCCAAGCCACAGCTGACGCCAGAGAGCTACTGTAGGCAAAGAAAACAGAGCGTACTATTACTTTCCCCCCGTGCAGTCTGCTTACGTTTGCCCCACAGCCGGCCTGCCCCCAAAAAGGCAGTCTGCTTCTGATTATGTGTGATCATCCTCGAGCTTGCCAGCTACATTTCAGACTCACGGGAGTCATTTTTTTCTTCAAATCTGGCCCCCATTCAAAAGGAATTACATTGGAGCTTGTCTAAGCCATTGTTAATTGCACTCATGGCAGCTACCAGCACTCAGTGATGTGCTCTATTTGTTATATGGAGTTTTTTTTTACATGTCATTATCATTTCCATACTATTTGTAATAATAATAATTTATTTTAAGTGCTTTTCAAGATATGCATTCAATGGTACCACTCATCAGACTCTGTTAATTTTAAATACCCCATCAAGTATCATAATGACACATATCACTTCAAATTAAAACTTAATTCATCAACGTCAAGCTTGCAGTGTCTATTATTCTGCCAATTGCTTCAGTGTTACTGTTAGTTAATCCATTTGGCAGCCCAGGGTAAGGGGAATTTTAATGCTCAGCCATGTGTATTTAAATGCATACATGCAATGTGTACATGTTATTCAAATTATATGACTGTCATATCTAACCATATCTTATGAGCCAACAACATCTCCCTGTGTTTTCACCTTTCTGTATCAGTTTATGACAACACAGTCCAATAATAGGGACTATTACTTTGATAAATGGTAATAAGAGTGCAATTAAGGAAATAAGCTGAAAAGTGAACCTCAGTATTTTCCTTTAACATAAGCAAAGCATAAGGCTTTGTGCCCACAGATTCACTGGGGACAGACTTGATACAAAGTAATGGAAAGCAGAGATGAGGTACACGGCATGTTTGTGCTGTCAGTGGTTCAGGATAGTTATTTTGGGCGAATCTGTGAAACCGTATTTCCCTCAAACACGAGGAAAACACATTTGGAAATGAAATTTGATAGCAGTTGCGTTTTGATTTTAATCAGGGGGATACGCTGTATGTTTGAATAATGTTAATGATTGTATAATAACATGATGGCCAACATTAACAAGGAAGGCCAAGACGTACTGCAATATGATACTATGTTGTTCCTGTAGGAGACCCCCAACTTCCTCTCCTTCCTCTATGGGTAAGTCAAAGGTCAGGGTCAGCTACAGAAAAACATGGGAAAAATTACATTGCATGCGTACTGATAATATACAGTAGCTGCCACAGAATCCTATTAAGTTTATATATCCGGTAAACTAACAGTCATGCTGGAATTATAAATCAAGTGTATTGATAATCCAGAGGGACCATATAGTAAGAAACAAGTAAGGAATAACCAAATAATCTCATCTGTAAAATTCAGTGTCAACATTTAAGCCACCATGATCATTAAAAATTATTTTAACATCTAAAATTTCAAGACAACTGGGTAAACTGCTGAGGGAGAGTGAAGAGGAGCGTGACCTATCAAAGCTCCTGCTGAGATACTACTGGTAAATATATTTTCACTATAAATATTTAGGTCATAAAAGTAACTTATCCAGAAATAAGGAAAATGGCAATTATTTTAAAATAATAATAATAATAATAATAATAATAATAATAATAATAATATAATTGATAACTTAGGGCCATTCTGCATCTATCATGACTTCTATAAATTATTTTAGAATTTAAATGTAATTTTATACTTTTAGAATTAGTTCCAGGTGCTATGTGCTGTTTCAATGTGCAGTATTAGGTTTACAATGGAAGGATGCCACTGGATGGGTGGGTAATGAAAAATAATTTAAAAAATCGTGACTATAGTAATAAACTTTGGGGTAGGGTCTGTTTCTCTCTCGTTCTCTCTCTCTCTCTCTCTCTCTCTCTCTCTCTCTCTCTCTTTTATTTCTCTCTGTCGCTCTCTCTCTCACACACACACAAACACGTACACACGTACACACACACACACACACACACACACACACACACACTCACCTCACACACCTCCCACCTCCATCGATGGGATCCCAGGGTGGAAGACATCATCAGGCGGTCCAGGAGGTTGCAGAAGCCGGTCGCGTCATCCCTGGATGGGCGGCGCACTGACGGGAGGACGGAGGGTGTTTTCCAGCTTTAAAAGCACCGGAGCCGGCCCCTCTGACAAACCGCGCTGCGTCATCGACCTGGGGACACTCTTGAAAACCTTCACAGGGCTGAACCGAGACAAACTCACCTCAACCACGGTCCCCTTAGCAGCCCTACCTGCGCCGGTCTCCAGATTCAATAGCAGAAGATTTGTCCCCCGTTCATTTGGTGCGCACAGTCACACCGCGCTGTGCTTCCAAGTTGTTCACTCGCTTTGTTTTAACTTCTCTGCGAATTATGCCTTTATTTGATGGTGTATGAAGTAATCTAGCGTTTGCAATATTATCTTCGGCTTTGCTTGTTACACTCTCAGAATCGTAAAAAGTTGCGCATCGCTTGTTGAATGCAGGATACCTTCAGCCTCAGCGTCAATTCCAAGTTCAGCTTTGGAGCAACAGCCGGTAAGGAGCGGGGACTCCAGTTTCTCACCTCTTTCGCCGCCGATATGAAGTCTGCAGAAGAAGGTAAAATATATTGCTTTTTGAGTTTGCATTAATGTTTCAACCAGCGCTCAAAGATGAATTTGCTGTCCGGTCTGGTTTTAGGTGCGCTGACACCAGGTGCTGCGGCTCTGATGCAAATTGATGAACTTGTACGCAAGTGTAAAGTCTGGGTCAAGCGTTTTGTCAACTGATATTAAAGGGAAATAGAGCTGACAGTTTTGGTGAAGATGAATAAATAAAAAAAAAAAGAAAAAAGAAATCCACCAGCAAATATTCAATTTCAAGCAACTGATGATTGAAAATAGATTGTTATTTGGTCACTTTAATAACCGCAACCACCTATCACAAGTTGAAATTATTCATTTTGAGGAAGACTCTTTGAACTATCCCCTGGTATGACCGCTGTTTTTTTTTAAGATGATAAAATGCCAGACACGTTTTTTTGATTGATCTTTACTCTGCGCAAGGATCAAATTAGCACTCACTCAAGTGTATTGAATGGCGTGCACCCATTTTACATCCACACCATTAGGTGTCTCCAGCTGACTTTGCAGGTGTTTTTCATCATGAGCAAACACTGTTGATGGGGTTCCACTGTTGCTGTCACTTGCACTCCTCTTGATGAGAGGTTCATGTCAACTTCAAATACTTTTTTATAAAATCAAAAAGCAGGGATATGTCTATTGTCTCCATGCACAGTGAGGTCAGAGGTCAGTGGTAGAACCAGGGGTTGCCTAAGATACTTTAGCGTGGAGGATGATTCAGCCTGGGTTTACCATTAAAAGGAAAGTTTGTGGTTTTGTTTCTGTTTGATTCAGCATTTATGGTAGCAAAATTTGATTTGGTCCATCAGAAGTCAATGATAGTCCGTCTCTGTTAATTCAGAGTCTTCCAGTGCTGATGTCACCGGCTTTTTGTGGATTTTGGGAATTTCATTTTGTCTTTGAGGTTTTAGACGGACGGGTGCGGGCTGTATTATTATTCATTTCAGTCCCTCAGTCCTAGGCCATATAATTGGTAACAGACGTGTGTGTGTGTGTGTGTGTGTGTGTGTGTGTGTGTGTGTGTGTGTGTGAGTGAGTGAGGCAGAGAGAGAGCTGTGATCTGTGCATTCACGAAAGCTGTGTAGCTTGCTTGACAAGGAGATGTGCTTAACCACACACACAGATTCAACAGTATATGCCGAGGGCTGCTTTTTTATAACACATGTACATAAACACAGATACCCGCACACAGACACACACACACACACACACACACACACCATGCTGGTGTTTTGCCATAGCCCATAGTCAGCCATGTGCGATAAGTGATAAGTGGCCCCAGGGTTCTTAGTTCCAGAGGCTGCGGATGACTTCTGTGGGCGACCACCTATCTCTCCCTGAGGTCCCGTCAGTCTGAACCCAGACTAGACCACAATCCCTGTGGATAAACCCATCCATTCTTTAGTCACGCTGGTTTGGTTGTGGGGAGGGAGTGTTTTGATCATGATAGCATAATTGAGAAAAATTGTGGAGGACAGAACGAGCACGCTATAATCTGTGTGATAGTCAGTGTTTTCAAATTAACTCTGCATACACCACATTTTGAATGGACTGAAAACAATTGTAGAGGCTTTGCCTTGAGTGCAAGAGTGACTCAGTTTATGCTTCTTCCATTTGGTTCACCCCCCCCCAAAAAAAAAAAAAAAAAATATATAATTTTATTAGTTCAGCAGATGTGACCCGGAAAAGCAAAGTTTCAAAACAAGTGCAGCACACAAGAGTGAAAGTCCCAGTGTGTTTGAGTGGGTGTTAGAAGAAGTCAAGTATGTTGCAGCATAGTGCATTGATCGTGCACACGTTCAGAAGAAAGGAAAAAAATAACAGCTGCAACTCTGAGCAAAGTCACTCAAGCCTGAAGTAAGAAGGTGTGTCACGCCGGGTGGAGTGGACAGGAGATTATCATCTGTTCAGCACTAGAAGAGGATAAACCAGAGAGGAAAGCATCAGTAGAGGCTCAGCTGAAGGCATACTCATTTTTATGTTAGACTTAGTGTATAATCACTGGGGCAGAGATGAGTTTCCAGCGTGAAGAGCAAGAGTTTGATTTCAGCGATGTGTTTGAGTACAGACAAGTTGCCCAGAATGAACCTAAGAAAGGTGGGTACTCAGGGGCAATGGAGGGCTTTTTTTAATTGTATGTCCTGTATAGTTTACAGTGTGAGGGCACTGCTGTGTACTCAGATCAATAGGGGAAAAACTTTATACATCAGTTTGCTTCTGTGTAAAAAGGCTGTGAGAGGGTCTGACTGATTTAGCATTCTGCTAACCAAACAAAAGCTAAATGTTTTATTATAATTCCATATTTATGTTCTTAAGTCTCTGTTTTGTAAATTTCAAAATGTTTCAAATATGGTTTTCTATGATATGCTTGAATATTATGATAAGTGATTGCCTAGGATTGCTTAGGAACCTGTGAAAGGTGTCATTGAACTTTTGACATATTGAATTGGTCTGATGCACATCGCATAATCACCTCTGAAAATAGACTCTCATAAACTAATTTTAGACTGCCTACCCACATATTATGCGATGTGTGACAGATTCATCATTTCATGTGATCCACAGCATTGTGGTTAACAAATATAGCACACAGCATCAAGGGGAATGCCCTTCACTGGGTTTCAGACTGAATGGTTTTCATGCTTTAACCACGTTTACCCTCATTGACATTATCAATAAAAGGCAGACATGAAGTTTACAACTGTTGACACAACAGTCGGCCGCTACAAGGCTAAATGAAGAGGCATATCTGCTAGGCTACATGTGCCTCCACTGACTGAGTTTGTATGTCATTGCACTTGTCTGTTTGTAATTTCCTTGTGTGCCTGCTTGTGCGCGCCCTTTGTTTGTGTGTGTACCACAGTGCATCTGTGTGTAACACTGCAGCAAACTCTCTTTGACTTAATCACAAGCTCAGAGCGATGCGAGAGTGCTGTCAGTTTTCCACAGGGGAGGGCCTAATTCACTCAGTGAGTGATGCAATCAATCAAATAAAGCATCCATCAGCGCTGCTGGAGGAATTCCTGTAGAGTACATATGACAGCAGGGAGTGCCAAATAGAGCCTTAGATGAACTGATCAAACAAACAGAGTGGCTGTGCAACTTGCGACTACACAGCAACCACATACAGTAACTGCTTTGAGATGATTGCTAAGCTTCTCCAGATGTTTATAAAGAAGGGAGGCAGTCATTCGCTGCAAGACATATTGGTAAGATTTGTGTAGGGGTATTGTTCTAAAATGTCATAATGTAATGGTTCTGAGCATTTGCTCAGTGGCATGTTGTCATACACTAAACTTCACTATACTTAAAATATACTTCTTTCTTTTCAGATGCATACAGCTACACACCAAATGTCAGCTTGTCCCTTCCACTGGGCATGGGCAACCCCTGTCTGGCCACCCAGTACCACACCTTACAGTCCAGCCCAATCATCTCAGTTTCCTCTTGCCACCAGACAGGCTACAGCCTCCAGAATGATAACCATGCCTCATCAGGCTATTACCTGCCCCACGGCCTGAGACCTAATGGGGCCCCAGCCCTGGAAAGCCCTCGTATTGAGATCACTGCCTATAGTCAGTATCCTGAGGATGAGGTTGAAGAGAGCAGCAGTGAGGACCACATCATCAAACGAGGTGTTAATTCCATCGTGACGCTGACACTGCCCAATGCGGATGGCTACCGTGATCCCAGCTGCCTCAGCCCCGCGAGTAGCATTTCCTCACGTAGCTGTAACTCCGAGGCATCCTCTTACGAGTCCAGCTTCTACAACTACGACAACTCCCCACAGAACTCCCCCTGGCAATCTCCCTGCGTCTCTCCCAGAGGCTCATCTTCACTCCTGTCTTGTCCACATGCCAGTGGCCCTGCAGCCTCCCCTCACCATTCACCATCCACCTCCCCTCAGATAGGAGCAGTGGCCGAGGAAGGCTGGCCAGCGCATCCTCGCGGCTCCAGGCCTAACTCCCCTTCCTGCATTGGAGGCAGTGGAGGCAATGGCGGGGGTGGTGGCATGGGGAAGAGAAAGTACAGCTTCAATGGCACCCCCTACCGTCAGACATCCTGCTCACCCATCCAGTCGCCCACACCATCCCCGCATGGCTCCCCAAGGGTCAGCATCACAGATGAGAACTGGCTCGTCAACACCAACCAGTACACCAACTCTGCCATTGTGGCCGCCATCAACGCTCTAACCACGGATGGAGTGGTAGACATGGGGGAGGGAATCCCAATCAAGACACGGAAGACCATGCTGGACCACTCACAGTCCATGGGCCTAAAGGTGGAGCCTGGTGGCGAATTGCTAGGTCCTGATGGGGAGCTCTGCCATGAGGACTACCCCTCCCGACTGGCCCTCAAGAAAGAGAACTATTGTGGAGGGTTCCTGGATGTTCCCCAGCATCCATACTCCTGGTCTAAACCCAAGCCTTACCTCAGGTGGGTGGAGC